GAGGACTTGTGTGGAAACTTGCCCAAGGATGGTTGATGATTATCTGAGGTTTTTTTTCCCAAGTTGAGAATCTTGAAAAACACATCTGAGTGTATAAAATACAGGAGTAAAGCTGTCCTATTTCTTTAACCACTCCTAATGATAAACCATTAATTACTGTGCTTTGTGACACGGTAGTTATTTTGCTTGTTTATCAATTAGCTTTATTTTCATGGAAGTACACTCGGATTGGAGTATTCCAAACCATTTTATCTCAGACTATACTTTTATTAGACAATCAGTCTTGCCTTAAACTGCTTACTAATGACATAACTACGATACGGTTTATGAAGTTATTTCTGTATTAAACCCCCATCAGGTATTTATTACTATGTAGTGTTAATGTTGAGAAAGCTTTAGTTGCTTTCCAGAAGTAAAGGAATACCTGGGAAGTTCCATTTTAGTGGGTAGGAACAGACACGTGCATGTGTAGAACTACTTGGTAGTGTACCTGGATGGGTTATTGTTCATTTGTTTTGGTTTTATACCCAGATTGTTCTGGAAATTGTAGTCTTGGAGATGGGAACCATCTTTGTCTTGACCCCTTGTAACCTTTGCATTTATTTTCTCTTGTCCCTAATGTTTGTGAATTAACAGGTTGTACTTAAGTCTTAGATTGTCTTTGAAATTATTTTGAATTATACTCTAGACTCACTCAACTACTGGTGCTAGAAATTTGCATGAGGCTTAGAAGCTTATGTGTGTTTAAAAATTTTTGTACAGCTACCAAAAAAAAAAAAAAAGCCCCAACCCTTACTGGAGTATATTTTGCACCTTTTAGAAGATTCCAGAGTTGATTTCTATACCCTGTAGCTCTGATAAGTGATGCGATCTTGCTCTTAAAATCAGGATCTTAGGATTATCTATAGAGGAAAGCTGTTATACTGCTTTTATCCTGACTCTAGGCCCAGATTCTACTAGAAGATAGTTCAAAGGAGGCACTCAAAATACAAGTCTGAGAGCAACAGGCAACAACTGAATTTGAAGAAAACAAACCTGTCAATTTCAAAACAGAAGCTATTAACAGACTGAATAAGCTAAATGTTTTTGGCATTTGTGGTGTTGCTGCAATTATTTTAATGGGGCTGAATAAGAGCAAACCATGATGAAAGCAAGTGTTTTTACTTTATTCCAGGTTGTATTTCCCACTGCTGGAACAAACCTGTGATAGTTTCCTTTGTGATTGTTTGTGTGCCTTGTTAAAATGTGCTTATTTGCTATAGGATGAAGTCAGAAACGGAACAAAGAAATTCATTGAGTTCTTCTGGGTGTCATGTGATGGCGTGACCAGGGAGAGCTTGTACCAAGCTGAAGCCAGCTGGAGTGAAAAGCAAAGCATCCCCCCAATAATTATCAAAGTTAAGTGAAAATCCCAGTAAAATGGGTTTCAGTTTAAAACTACTGTTGTCTCAGGACCTGAGGCTTGTTTACGAGGCAAAATTCATGCTCGGGTGATTGGTAGCACATAACTACAGGCACCAATGAGTTAGGCTTACAGCAAAGTGCACTGCGATTTCTTCCAGCCCCTTCTTCAGAGGACCATTATAGCAAAGGACATCCAGCCATTAATTCAAGTGTTGAAAATCAGAGTCAGGTTTTTTCTTTTGTGCATATTTCCATCTTTTTAGCACTTAATTCAGCCGCTATTTCAGCCTGTCTTTTGATGCCAGTGCAAGACCAAAGACTTCATGGGCAGCTTTGACCCTAAAGTGGAGGCATCTTTGTCTCTATCAGCTCCTGTGGTGCTTATGCCTCATCCTCTCTGCAGGCAGAAAGTTTCCTTTTATTTTCAGCGCTTAGTCCTGTGGTGAATTATTCTGTTTCTGGGCTCTTCAGGGCACAGTGGTCACATAGCAGGAGCAGGGCCAGTATAAAACATCTTTACCAGCACAGGTGTCCCCGGAAATGTGGAATAACCTGTTGGCTTCTCTCTGTTGATACCCCCAGCCCTGATATCATCGCAATATTTCTGGTTCTTTCTGGTGTAAAGTGGCTGCAGCGGGTGGAGAAACTTAGCCTTTCAGGTCTGGGTACTTGGAGGGAGGGTCTCCAGGAGCTGAGGTGACTTAGTCAAGGGACTTGAATGTTGTTGCCAAAACACCGTGTTGTGGGTGAGCTCCAGGTAGATGAGAAGGAAGAGGTGTAATTTGTCAGGCAAGGTTCTCACGTTGTGTTGGACGAAGCAGACAAATCTCTCCACCAGGAGCGTGCGTGTCTCTCTTGTAAACAGATGGCTCTTGGCTGTGTGCAGGCAGCAGTTGTCTTCCAAGGTGCCAGGGCTGGGATAACCACAGGCAGCAAGGAGCAGAGCTGCCTCATGGAGAGCGCCAATGCGGAGCAATCCGAGCTGCTGGCACACCGAGTCGGGTTGTCCTTGGTGGGAGGCACGCAGCTTTTGGAGCAATGTGTGAGTGCTTGGTTTTGCTAATCTTCACTATGTAAAGTGTTACAAATTATAGGCATCTTGAAATGCCCTGTTTGAGATGCCCAGTGCAAAACAGGACAAAAAGGACTGGCTGTTCTTGCTGTCTTTGCTTTTATTTGGGTTATTAAAATGACTCAAGAATGTCTTTTGATTTGTTTTGATTACTCTACCTGGTAGGTCCACAGAGGTTAATGTTTCACAGGTTTTAAAATCTTGATTAAACTCAATTCCGTGCAGTTAGTTGGGCTGAACATGGAAAATGGGTGCTTGTACAATACTGACCTTGAATAAAGTTTATAATTTTTACTGTGTATTGTTTGCTTACTTTTAGTGCGTGGAGTGTTAAGGAATGTAGGTCATGTGGAGTGGAAGGTGCCTTGTCCCTGTTGGAACTCAGTTCACCTTATGAAAATATTTAATTAGACTTGAATCTTTTGCTCTCAGGGAAATCAGGTTTTGGCTGATACAGTCACTACTGCAGCATTATGACCCCAAAGCATACAGGTTTATAAGAGACTTGATTAAAAGATTAAATTACTGCTATTAATAGATTTGGAAATCCTGAGTAGATTTACAGCATAACCACTTCATAAAGATAATATTTGTAAGTATTTAATATTTTTAGATATGATCAGTCTTTCAGAAGCTTGGGGCAGTTTTCTGTAACCATGAAGAATCACAGAGCACTTCTTTCCAAAAGCCAGTGGCGAAGTGTTACCAGGAGTGTTATGCTTTGGCCATTTGCTATAATGTTGTTTTAACAGGACAGAATGCCTTGCATAAGAGTTGTATTTCCATGTAACTTCTGAAAGATCCATCTGCTAGCATCCTTTTGGAAAATATTTTGTGTATAAGCTGTTGAACCTGTATTTTGAAGAAGCTCCTTTTCTGCCATGCCACCTGTCAAGTGAGGATTTCTGAAATCTTTTTTTCTACCATGGTTGAGTACAAAAGCTTAGGTAAAACCTTTCAGTGTTTGATAAAACCTGTTGCACATACAGTAAGTGGTTACTAAAAGTGGTTTCATAAATTGAATATCCTTTTGACTCCTTCTTAATAGCTCCTTTGTCTGACAGAGGATTGTAATGCCTGTAAATCTTCCTTTTTTGCCTGTGGATGAGATGTTCTTGTACTCGTGGAAATGCTTCAGTCATTGGATAGAAAGTGTTTGGGAGACTGTACAAAGCAAATGCAAAAACCTGCTCTTGTTGATACACGTGTCTTACTAATTTCTTAATTTATTCATTTAGTTGAAAAAAGGAGCCTTTGGTTGAAAGCCAAATCACACCACTCATCTAAAGCATTGCAACACAGAATAGCAATTGCAGCATACTAATTGCCTCAGCAATTAGCAACAGGATGTGTGATAGATAAAATTTAAGGACATAAACACAAAGGATGTACAATACCTGGTACCAGAGTCTCTTCCGAGATGATTTCCTGATTTGTTGCTCTGAGACTCAGCACATTTCTTTGTTTCTTGTGCTTTTTTGCTCCTTTTCAGCATGCAGGTCACTTAGTACCAAGGGCTTCCTGATCTTAAACTGCTGTTTGCTGCCTCGAGTCAGCTTGTGGGCCTGGTTTACTGTCATGCTCCTAAAGGATTAGGATATTTTGGATTGCCTGTGGAATATGTACAGCACAGCAAACAGTATTGTGGGCTAAGAACATGTTTTGCATTTCCCAGCTTAAAGAAATGGTTAGGAGGCAAGTTTTAGCTTGAAGACCCTTACTTGTGTCATCTGTTATGCCACTAATTGAAATCTTCCTGTCTCCATGATAAAATTATTTTCTGAGATTTGCTGTCAAACATAGTTTGGTCAGTGCATTTCCTCACGCAGGTAGCATTTCTGGGTTCTTGGCAAAAAAATGCTGAGGTGGACTGCTATTAAATCTTAAAATGTTTGCGGGGGATGTGAAAAATTAGACATGTTGAAGGATGTGTGAAAGAGTTTTCCAATGCTCACTCCTTTGGTTTGGAATCAATGCATATTTGTGTGTATGTGTATTTGTGTTTTGTCTTTATTATCAACTACATGTATTTGGCTGGCACAGCTAAGATTTCAGTTGAGTGCATTTTAGCATAGAATCATCCTGTACTTAGTATTAGTGAAACCTTCTCTTTGTCTTGAAGTATTTTATTTGTCTTTTAACATTTTATCTTACTGCAAGTGCCTTCAGTTAGTCATTCCTGGCTATCTGGGGCTTGATAAAAGGCTTTGCTTACAGGGCCTTTGGTTGTGCAACCTGGGTTGTAGGGCTTGGCTCTGTGTTTGTATAGCTGAGGTGTTCACAAGCCTCTGGAGGATGGGTATCATGTTTTACCTGTAAAACAGTTTTTAATAGCAGCTAAAGCAAACAGAACTTCACATGAAATTCATGTCAGTGGGGTTTGGAGTGGGCAGGGCTGGAACAGCAGTGAATGGGGTAATGTCAGCAACAATCTGAGATCACTGGTCATTTCTTGCTCTGTTTTAACGCTTCCTTTCTATTGAGAGCAGTAGTAAGCTGCAGTCAGCAGCTGTTTGGTTTTTTTTTTTTGTTTTCTCCCACAGGCAGTTTGTAGTGCTCTCCATGACCAGTTCTTCTGCAGCTTCCCTCAGCATTTCTCTTGCTATGCTTTCAACCATGTCTCTTCCTACAGGTACAGTGCATCTGATCTTGAGAGGAGTCAACATCCTGTTTATGTTTAATCTGTGATGAGCGCTGCAGTTGGGCATGGTAGGGTGGGATTGGCTCCTGAGGTGATACTGCCCTGCTCATGGTTCCAGTTTTTTGACTTCAGGTGGGATAACTGAGGTCAAATATGCCTTAGTGGGAGAAAAGCAACTGGCTCTGGAGCCTGGCATGGGTGGTTGCTGTATGTAACTGACAACTGGTCAAGGTCCCTCTACCTGTGTGGGAACTGCATCAATTCTGCAGTTTAATGTAAGTTGAGTTGCTGATTAAATACATCTCTCTTTTGGAAAAAAGATAGAATTTAAAAAGGGTGTTTCTGCCTTTTTGTTCCAATTGGCTCAGATGCTAAAGTGAAGTTTTAGAGAGTTTGCAGCTCCAAGAGCAGAGTTCGTGTTCTTCCTTCTAAAATAAGGAGTTTTGTGTAATGAGGTGTAGAAAAGGGAGTGGGACAATGCTGAGAGCAAGACAAAGGAATAAATCTGTGTGTTAGCACCACAATTCTGGCGATTTGTAGTATGCACACTTTACTGAATTACATGAAAATCTTACATTTCCCCTTTAAAAAAAAAAGAATAATATTCCTGGGATGTGAACATTAGCTTTCCATTTGGGCATAGACATTTAATTGCTAATTAGCTCCTGGATTTGGGCTTGCAGAGGTGGCAGCCTGTTCCTTTAACCTGTGCTGTCTCTGTGGAATGGTAATGAGTAATTTGAGCCCTTTGGGTAAGGTGAGTGATCAGCAGCTCAGAGATTGCTCCTTTGCTGTCAGAGGAGCACTGCTGTTTGGGATGAAGGGCACCTTTCCCGCCAGAGGTCCTGCTCAAACTGCCCAGGTAAACTCAGCAAACCTTAGCAAATTTCAAGAAAGGCTGAATGGAAGGGAGGAACTTAAAAAAGCGAATTGCATCACTGAACTCAAGCTCTGTCAAACTTCCTTTGCTGCTTTTGAAGTCAGGAGTGTTCTTGCTTAGTGAATAAAAAGGCCTTTATATCCTTATGTGCAAATGTATAAGAACTGCTTCATCTTTTGAGTAGTGATAGTGTGGGAGCAGTTTGCATTCAGGCTGTGCTGGATGGAGGTGAGCGAGAGGCTCTTCTGCCTCTGGTTCTCTCTGTGATGGAGGAAAATGTGGATAATGGTATTGCTGGCTTGAAAATAGCTATTTCCGAGTTTCAGAAATAGCAGGTAGGCAGCCAGGAGTGTAAAGCAGAAGAAAACCCTCAAACATGCCAAAAAGTTCTATTAGCAGTGATTAGCAGATTATTAAGGATTGGCAGCAAATCTAAATGTAATCTTGGGTACGTGTTGTAGGACTGTAATTGACTGTTAGACCAATTATTGCTTGGAATCTATTGAAAATAATTTAAGATTGATGTTTATATAAACTACATTAAGTCTTAATGTTTAAATTATTATTCTGAAAGTCAGCTAGCACTACACTTATTTCCATGTCATTCAGTTATTTTCCACATTGTCCAACCTTCAAGTATCAGAGCTTTGTGAAGAAGGAAGGGAAGATCCTCCCTCCTGTTTTTTTTCTTCTGAAAGTCATTATTTTCTGTGTAGTCACACTTCTTATTGTAGGTTCTACTTAGTCCTTCTGGGTGAATGGAAAAATACTTCCTTAAAACAAAAAAATTATCATTTAGAAGTGTTTTGGTCAGCTGAAAACTGCTCCAACAGTCTGTCCAGGAGTGTTTGATTTTCTGTAACCCTTTAAAACTCATGCTTCCTCTTTCATTTGAAAACCCCTACACAGAGGTCATTAATTCTTCTCCAACACCAGCTACTCATAAAGTTAAAGGCATACCAAGAAGTTAAACATTAACTTGTTCTTGCTGTGCTCCAATAGGAGAACCTTTGACAATGAACAGTTGGTTTTACTACTGCAATGCCACTCTGCGTCTGATTCTTCTCCATATCCTTGTTTTTAGGGCTTTTCGGCTGAAAGGAATGGCTTCAATTCAGGGATCATTTTATGGGTATTGTTTGGTTGGGTGTTATGGTGTTTTTGGGATTTTTTAAGTGCTAGCAAATTTGGATTTTCCTTTTCACCTTCTGTGATAAAAGGATGTTGCATGCCAGCTCAGACACCGAAACAGTCTTGTTTAATGGAGGCAGATCCTAAGAAGAGGGACTTAAGATAGAGGTACAAAATGGTTTTATATTGTTAACCATCCTGGAGAAATGCATCATTGTGTCTCTGGGCTTTACTTTCCTCTTTTCTGTCAGGATACCTGACAGATTCTTTTTCATGTTCCTGGTGTGCAGAAATGGAAGGCAGTTGCATTGGATGTTGATCCTTTTTATATATTGTGGCCAGTGATTTGTTCTGGGAGTTGACAGCTGGATTGTAGCTGGTAGTTAGTAGAACTTCAGAAGAATCCCTGAGCACCAGTTGTGATTAGCTGGTTTCAGCTGAGCACCGCCTTGGCATTGTCCTGAAATGTCTCAAGACTTCTGTGCCTGGGCACTGCTTGCTGCTTTGGGAGAAGAGCTGAATCAGAAATTCCCACTGGAATAGGCAAGTGTCCTGGGGGAATGCCTGCTGTGCTGGGGGAGCTCACTGCTGAGGGCAGTTGGACTGAGGGAGTGTCTGGGAGAGAGCCTGGAGCTGAGCTTGGGTGGTAGTGTGCTGATGCCCTGCTGATGGCACTGGGCACCCACTTATTCCCCAGTCCAGTCTGCCAAATGGGAATTAGGCTTATGATTAATTGGCTTACAGAATGCTGTTACCTATTGCCCTTGTTCCTGCAGAATTCAAACCTGAGCTCCCTGCTTCTGTCTGGCCAGGGTATGAAATGATGAGGCTGCAGGTTCCTGCCAGAAGTTCAATAGAAGGTCAATGCCATTTTTCCCAGTAAAAATGTCACTTAATCGGCATTTCTGTAATAGCATCGTGTGTTTAATATTGCTATGGCTTGGCAGGTCCTGTTCATATATTTTCCAGCTCCTGTGGAAGGTGCTTATGTTGAAAAGGGGAGTTGCATAATAGGTTTTTGAGAAGTGATTATTGTTTTACCAGTTGTGAAGATATCTCTAGGTACAGACTGCCAGGGGAGTGTGTTGTGTCATCTCTTGACACTGATACAGTGCAAGAAGATAAAAAATTGTTTGGTAAATAATTTTAGTTATTGCCAGGTTTTTATGTTAGTCTTTATAATGGCTTCACAAGGAGTAGAATGTGCAGTGTGATTCCTGTTTAAAACTTGGCTGCCAGGTAAGTGTGGGGACAGGAGGCAGTGGGGAAACACTGTCAACATCCTGAGGTTCTCATAGCTTTTGGTGGCACTTGTGTCACCCAGCCATGGAAGCTATGCCTTAGGGCTAAGGATTGTCTCTGCTGTGCTCTATGCCTCAGATCAGGAGTTGGAAGTAGGGCTAGCCTGTGGCAACGTGTTGGATCCTCACGAGCCCTTAGGCTCCTGTAACCTTTGATTTCTGCTGCTGATAGAAACATAACTGAGTTTCCTAGTCCTGCACCTTCATTCATGGTTTTGTAATATTGCTCTTGTTGACAGGAGCAGTAACTCAATACCGTGGGAATGCATGGGGAGATTGAATCAGTAATGGGATGTTTCTGAGTTTGATTAATCATTTTTCTTGAATGTTTCATTGGTGAGCCATGTTTATGTTCTTTTTCTAACACCTCTCTTAGCTAAGGAGTGTTAACCTCCAGTGGGGTCCTGTTCAGGAAAAGTGAGCATGGGCCAGGGCAGTGATTGTCCCTCTCTGCACTTGGCCCTTTGAGACCACACCTTGAGTGCTGTGTCCAGTTCTGGGCCTCTCACCTCATGAACAATATGGAAGTGCTGGAGCACACCCTGACAAGGGCAGGGAAGCTGGTGAAGGATCTAGAGAGTAAGTCCTGTGAGGAGTAATTGGGGGAAAAATAAGCTCAGGGGAGACCTAACTGCTGTCTACAACTACTTCAAAGGGACATCCTTCAGAGTAATAGAACGCAAAAAAACCCTTAAACTTTTTACATAATAAGCATATAGGAACACAGTAATTTATAAATAGATATGTCATTTAAATAGCTATAAAATATGAGATGCTCTATTTGTTAGCTGGTAACCCATGTAACATTAACTAAGAAAATGTCCTGAGCAATCTCAGGAGCAAGGAGGGGTAGTAGGGTTATATGGGTATACTATAGGGGGAGATACCAAGGACTGAGTAGCAGTGTTTTCTGTTGTTCTTATTTATAAAGGACGCTGCAACAGACTCGGCGTCCACCTGGATTGGTTTGGCACGAGGAAAGAGCAGATTGTTTGGTTTGGCTTGTACTCATTTCTCTGACCTAGGAGGGTGATGGTGACTGAGGAGTTTCTGACGTGTCCTTGTTGTGCTTCCAAGGCACTTTGCTTTCCTCTGTGGCGTACAGCATTTTAAATCACCCAACCACGTGTGAAAAGTATTTTCCCTTTCTCCAGCAGTGTGCTGCTGTCAGGAACTGTGCATTTAGAATGGCAGTGAGGTCCTTCAGCATAGGTAGGGCTGGCGTTCAAGTGGGTCTTTAAGTGCTGATTTAAGTAGGTTGAGAATCAAGTACCTGTTAAAGTGCTTCAGTGGAAGTTGTGGTGTTCACATAGGCAGTACTAACTCCTTGTTGTTACACTTGTTCTTGTAAGCAGAATGTCATTTTTGGAAGCTCAAAGTTGGTTCTTAGTCAATGGTAGCATCTTCCTGCCTGATTTTTTGCTTTCTGCTCCTACGTATCTGATCATCACTGATACTAAAGAAAAACATAGCATGAATTTGCATGTCATCTTAGGAGGAAAAGTTCTCTATCTTCACTGTCCTGTTAGCTTATGTAAAAACAAAACCCCAGAAAATGTTATGCTAAAATCACAGTGAAGTTGCGGCTTGAGGGAGGACAGCTTGAAGCCTGTGGGTAACTATCAGACAAGACCTCGCAGTGGAAGTGCTCATAACCATGCAAATGAAAGGGTGGCTTGCTTAAACTGCAAAATGTTGTCCTGTTGTCTGTGATGTAATGCTCTTATTTCTCCTTCCAGCTATGAAGCTGTACGCTCCAGCCTTCATTCTCCTGTGGAGTGCTGTTGGGATAGCAAGGGCTGCCAAAATCGTTGTTGTGCCGCCAATTATGTTTGAAAGCCATCTTTATATTTTCAAGACTCTGGCCTCAGCCTTGCATGACCAAGGTCACCAGACAGTGTTTCTCCTCTCTGAGGGCAGAGAGATTCCTCCATCTAATCATTACAGACTTCAGCGCTACCCAGGGATCTTTAACAGCAGCACCTCGGATGATTTCCTCCAGTCCAAGATGAGGAGTATTTTCTCGGGGAGGCTGACTGCCCTCGAACTGTTTGATATCCTGGACCACTACTCCAAGAACTGCGACATGATCGTTGGCAACCGCAACCTCATGCGTGCCCTCAAACAGGAGAAGTTTGACCTGCTCCTGGTAGATCCCAATGAGATGTGTGGATTTGTTATAGCCCATCTTTTAGGAGTTAAGTACGCTGTGTTTTCCACTGGCCTTTGGTATCCAGCAGAAGTGGGCGCTCCAGCTCCCCTGTCCTATGTTCCAGAATTTAACTCGCTGCTCACAGATCACATGAACCTATTAGAGAGGATTAAAAATACTGTTGTTTATCTTATTTCAAGATTTGGAGTCAGTTTTTTGGTTCTGCCAAAATATGAAAGGATAATGCAGAAACACAAGGTTCTTCCAGAGCGGTCCATGTACGACTTGGTCCATGGATCCAGCCTGTGGATGCTTTGTACTGATGTAGCACTGGAGTTTCCAAGACCTACGCTACCCAATGTTGTTTATGTGGGAGGAATCCTAACGAAGCCGGCCAGCCCTCTGCCAGAAGTAAGGTTTGCTGAGTTTTACAGTAATTTCTGTGCTTTCTGCTTGACCTCATGTGATGAGTGGCAGTTCTTAAGCACTGATTTTTCAGGTGGGACCTGTTCTGTTGTTGCTTGATGAAGTATTCCTTGGAAGCCAGCTCATGTGGTGGTGAAGGGAACTGTTTGATCACAAATTCAACAAAATTAATAATTTTTGGATGCAGGAAGTATTCCGCTTTCAAGTGAGGTGCTTAATGCTGCACTAGAGATGAAAACAGTGCACTCTGTCTTGGAAATCCCATCAGTAGCTTTTAACCAGACATGGTTTAAAATGAACATGAGGGAGAATAGATGAATACTGTTCATGCTTGAAGAAGCCTGCTGTTTGGTTGTACTAGGTACCTTCATGGTATGGCTGTTTTTATGGTATTTGTTTTTGTACCTTAGGTTTGGGAGTGACTTTAAGACTACGAGTACATAAGCATGAAGAGACTGTACTGAGTGAGAAATGGAGATAAGAGTTGGCATAAATAGCATTAAGGCTGCACTCAGGAGTTTTTACTGTGCACGTGCACAATATTGGGCTCAGAACTTCAGACTGAACAGTGATAGTGACTGGACTGACTCCAGAAATCCTGGCTGCACAGATTAATTATTAAGTTTGATTACTTCAGTGATCTTTGATATGTTATACCCAAGAATGCCTCTGTCGAGCAATACAGTGGTGAGTGGCAGGCAGAACAATCTCACAGAAAACAATGTCATTTGCACTTCTGTTTATGTGTACATAAACAAATAGATCTTCAATTTGAGGGAATTTTTAATGGATGCTTTTGGCTGGATGATACGAAGGGCTAGGTAGACCTGCAGTGCTCAACAATTTGCTTCTTAAAATGGCTGTTTCAGCCTTTGCTTTTTTGTATGAAAAGTGCTATTGTCTGTTGTCTGGTGTGTCAGCATGGATGACCATAGCAGTGCTGCTTCTCACCAGCTCTTTCCACGTGTGCATCAATGTGTTTGTGTTAAGGAAGGGTCAGATAGCCTGGGAGAGCAGACTGAAGGTACCCTTGTTCTGTCTAAAAGATCATCCCTATTTTCCCTCTAGGAAAACTTTGCTGTCTGGATTGAGTTTTTCCTTCATTTTCCAGACTGATATTTCCTTTTTCTGTAAGAGAAAAAAGGTATTTGCATAATCAGTTTGGGCAATGAGGTTAATGCTGTCAGTTGTGTGTCTTTTGATGTTCTGTGTAACAGGAGTTAGAGTGACCTTGAAACAGACCTGTAGGTCAAGTAAGTGGTGGCAAATATTTGTTACAGAGGGGGTAAGAAACTACCTATAATTACTTGTGAGCCGAGACATGATTTACCTTTTCAGTTTTATCAGGCAATTCATTCTTAGTGTTTGAAGGAGGAGTTTTCATTGTAAGCGAGAGAGGGAGAGGGACGAAGTGAGCACGTTCCTCTTTGATCTTGTCACTTGCGCACGCCTAAGCTGTTATGCATACCCCTGTGGTGTGTATTGTAGGTAAATTACTGGGCAATCAGTTTGTTTGCTGAGCAATTGGATGAAATTGCTACGTGTCCCTCTGTCCTGGCAGATGAGAACTGCAAGTGCAGATAGTGTGTGCTGCAGCTGTTGTCTGCTCTTGCTGCATCTCTAAGGCAGCAGCCTTGGCTAATTTATTTTCTGCAGCTTCCAGTTTGGTGCATTAAGGTGAGCCAGAAGCAGAGCTAGTTCATGTTTCTGTGCTGGGCTGGAATTGGTGATGCTTCAGCAGCATTCTCAAGTTATTTTCTTGTCCGTGGATGATGATTAGAAAGGGGAGCACGTAGCAGGACACAGCAGCTAAAATTTGCCCACTAAAGCTGTTATTACAAGTCTTTCCAGTGTCTTAAATTCACAAAATTGCATGTAAGTAGCCTAACTTTGTCTGCTAGACATGTATTGGGGAAAAAAAATCAGGGGTGTTCTTTTAAGTCCAAAATACCTGCTCAGACTACCTGGGCACCTCAGTAGTGGCACCCCTGTGTTGCCAACAGCTTTTTCCTTCCCCCTGCCCCCACCAAAGATAAACAAGTAGTTTGTTTATCTGTAATAGAATCCCTACACGTAAGTTAAAAGTTCTAGCTTTCTGTTCATGAGCAGCATCTTGAAAATAAGAGGCAGATAGTAACAAGCATTCCATGAGGAGATAAAGGTCAAGATCTTTTAAGGTGGCCATTCTTTCTTTCTAGGGGACGGGTTAACTCTGTTTTGTGGCTGATTCTGCAGATTCTGCATCTGTTCCTTGAACTTGAAAGAAAAGTTGGAAAAGCCCAGCTTTCAAGGTAGCACATAGCAGTGGGTGCTGAATATTCATGTCGTGTAACAGTGTGAGGGGGAAAATTATAAAATATAATATTAACACAGATGACCAGCAAAGCTGGATCAGGTATATGTGTTTATGTGTACATATTAAAATACATAACCTGACCCAGCTTTGCTGTCCCATCTGCATTAGTATTTCAATCCTGGGGCACATCCTCCCTGCTGCTCCTGCAGTTAGCTTGTGTCAAGCATGATTTTTAGCTGCTGCTGAGCTCTGTAGCGATGAACGCTGCAAGCCGCCGGCTGTGGCACACGAACTGCGAGCCTGTCTTTGGGTTGCAGCCTGCCCAGATGCCTCGGGAAGGCTCCGATCCTCCTCCCTGCTCTCCCTCCCGGGCAGTGCCCGGGTGTCGGGCTGCTCTTGGCGCAGTGTCCCTCGGGAAGTCGCAGTGATCGGCGTGCCAAGGAGGGGGAGCCAGCGGCGAGAGCAGCGGGTCCTTTGGAGGTCACCGCTCTGCCCGGCTCCCTGCGGTGCCTTGCAGCTCCCTCCTTGGCAGGGCAGGGGCAGCCTCACCTGGGCAGGCAGCGGCTGAGGTGCCTGGGGATTGGCACATTGTCCCTTTGGATCCCTGCTGCAGGTGGATGAAGCCGAGCACACCCTGTCACTCTGCTCTGCCGGGCTGGGAGGGCTAATGGTGGCTTTGCAAAGCTCCGCATAGGCGATTTTTGTTGTGTTCTGTGAGAGCCAGTGTGGGATTTTCACTGGTTAAACTGGGTTTGGACGGTGCTTCTTGCACGGTGTCCTGTACTGCTCAGTAAAAGGCGAGGAGATGGTTTAAGGTGACTTATCCCACATGCAGGTGAAATTTTATTCACTTACAGGTGATGGGTGCAGAGTCCAGGATTTGTGTACATATCTCATAAAACCATGTGCTGAATTATTTGGAGGACAGTGTGAACAGAATTAGTCCTAAAAGATGAAAAGCTAAAGACAAACTGGCTATGAAGTCCTTAAGGTCATCAGTGATTTAAACTATTGAGGGTGTAGTGTTCCCTGGCAGTATTTCCCAGATAACTGTCATTAACCATTAGGAAAATCACAGGCTCCTCTGCCTCTTCCTCACCACACTTCTCCAGAGGGACCTGAATGAAGCTGGATTTTTAAAGGGACACCCTTTTAAGCAACAGCAGGGAAACCTCTGCTCTGGCATTTATACCTTGTGACCAGGTTGATGCACACTAGGCATTAATCAGCCTGATAAGTCCCTGAATCAGGGTAGGAAGCCCCGGGGTGCTCCAGGCAGCTGCCTTGGGAAGTACTCAGTCCATGAGGAAACTGAATTTGTGCTGCAGAGGAGGGTGCTCTCATTTTGGAGTAATAAGTTGTCCTTACAGCCACAGCTGTCAACAGATAATTACAGGAACTTCCTCACTCCTCCATGAACATCTCTTATCTGAGATTATCATACAGATCAAAGTCTATGCAGCAAATGGGTGCCTTTGAAATATCTTCACTAAAAAGTATTTTGGGTTTTTTTTTTGTTTTTTTCCCCTCCCTGAGCCTTGCTGACAGTTGTATGTTTACTAGGTGTGTTAGCTGGTACTGATATGTATATTGAAAAAGATGTGGAAGAATCAAGACATGTTTTATTCCTTAAACTTGGTTTTTCTCCTTCATTCAGATTCAAGGATGCATCTGTAAGCCCTTGCAAAGTGTAGAAGTAGATTGTTGCGCATGGTGTAGTACCATCATTTCAGTATTTTTCAAGTCCAGGGAATGGTTCTTACAGACCTGTTTGGCCAGTAAATTTCTGGTGATGTGAAGCAATTCCAGAACTGTTCTAAAATGCATGTGGTTGTCAGCTGGGGAGGCAAAAAGTCTTTTAAGGATTATGGAGATGATGCAGCACTATGTAAATTCTGTATTGAACTGTATGATCATGTATCTTGGCTCTGAAATTATTTTAGATAAAGCTTTTTTCTCCCCCCAGAATTTGATGATTTGATCCACAAGAAAACGTGTGAGCTCTCCAGGTACCTGCAGTCCTAAAATTGTAGTGTCCATTCTCAGCTGCTCTAGCAGGACTGGGTTGGTGAACCATGTCTGTTCTGCTGTACTGCTGCATTTTAAATTTGGGAAGAAATGTGACTCAGCATCTGTCTGTTCAGTGCAAGACACAGGGAGAAGGACACAGGGTTGATTTTTGGAGCTCGGTTAAGTTAAATCAAGCTCCAGTTAAACTTGTGAGGAAGGCAGGTCCTCCAGGTGCACATGCCAGGCATAAAGCTGGCATCCCATGAGGTGAACAAGGAGCACCAAACTTTCAGTGAGCCTGTGCTGTCCATCAAAAAGCAAGTTTTCTGGGTTCATGCATTACAGTCCAGGATAGTTAGTTGTTGAGTTCAAGCAGTTCTTTGTATTGGGAAATGGAAAACAGAAGTTCCAGACCTAGATGTTGGATAGGTCAGATGATGAAAGCTAAAAGCAAGAGAAGTGACTTTGGTTTTTTTATTCATACAAAAACCCAAAAACCCCTAGCAACCCAACACTTCAATAGGCTACTACTACCACAGGCTTTGTGGTTTTAAATATTCTATTTGCTCATGTTCATATTGGAACACACAAACCAACAAGATTTATTCATTTTGGGAACGTGCAGTGTTTTAGCTGAGTGTCTCTTGAAAATTTTGAGGCATGACCTCCATAGAGGACA